GGCTTGTCGGGCCAGCCCGGCCCGTTTGGCACATTTTCAGGTTTTTCTGCCTGGGGGCGTTAACCTGCACTTTGAGTGGTGGCCTGGCCCGAAGCCGGCCCGGCTCATGCCATTAACAACCCTATCTGTATGTGATTGAAAAATAATGTCCTATAATCGAAATTATCCAAATTTTTAGACATTCAAATCGAAGTGTTTAGAAACATAATATTTAGTTTCTTTTAAATTGTCATACGGTGATTCTCGTAAAATTTTAGTGTTTAAAATTCAAATCTAATTTTTTCTTTAGAAGAGAGAGAGAACCTCATAATTGAATGTTTCGTGTTCGCATTAATAAAAATCCTTACCAGCACGAAAGTCTTATAACGGAGCTCCGCTTTAGGACGTCTCTCTCTCTATAAGTACATCTCTTGCTCTTCATCTCTTCTCATCAATCTTAAGATTTTTACCTCTCTTTCTCTCTCTAGGTTTTCTTGTGCATTTAAGGCCAAACACTACACCCTTGAACGAGCCATTCTCTCTCTTTAAGAGGCTTTTTTAACCCCCTCCTTCTCTTTCTAAACTGTTAAATCAAGAAAACAGATGGGCTCTTGCTCTACTGCCCATATAGCAACACTGCTCATGATAGTGCTATGTAGCATGCTGTTGCTATGTGAAGGGAAGCAGCTGAGCTCCAAGTTCTATGATTCGAGCTGCCCCAATGCCCTCTCTACCATCCGCACCGCCATTCATGCCGCGATATCGGCAGAGAGGCGGATGGGAGCCTCCCTTATTCGCCTCCACTTCCATGATTGCTTTGTCAATGTGAGTTCTTAATATTTATGTTTAACAATTCGTATCTATCAATCTATTAATCTATGAGTCTGAATTTCTTCTAATCTATTTATCAAACTCGATCTATCTTATGAATGTGGGTGATCTTAGGTGTATGGATATCTATGTGCAGGGTTGCGATGCATCGCTGCTGTTGGACTCGACTTCCTCTTTCGAGAGCGAACAGAATGCCATTCAGAACATCGAGTCTGCTAGAGGCTTCCAAGTCATTGAAAAGGCAAAGTCGAGAGTGGAAAGCATATGTCCAGGTGTGGTCTCCTGTGCAGACATCCTTGCAGTTGCAGCAAGAGACTCTTCTGTAAAGGTAAGAATATCTAAGCAAAACGATTTCTTCAGCAACAATTTCCTCTTAAGATCTTTTATAGTCCTTTACATTTATAAGGAATCTCATATTGGAATGTCTCAGGATAATAATTCAAGAGTTGGATTTTTTTTTTTTTTTGGGGTCAATCATCTCATGAGTGTGACTTATAATTTTCTAAGAGGATAAGTTTATATATATAATAAAACTATGATCAGAATCAACCTTGGCTATTTGATGTAAAATCAGTTAGATATAGGTCTCCTATTGAGCAGCCCCAAGTTCAAAATGAATTTTTCAAACTTTGTAACATACCTCAAGCTATCAAATGTCATATCTGACAGCTAAAGGTGTCTCGTACAAAATATATTTGGCCTTATAATATACAATTTCGTTCTATTTCCTAAATGACTACCTCTCCCAATTTAAATCAAGCTTGGAGGTAAAGTAGTCATCCTAAATAACTCATAAAATATTCAGCCAAAATAAGTTTTAAGGGGTCAAAATATCATCCTAACATTTGAAGCATTTGGACCAATTTGTAAGATGTAATGATGTTTAGGTTTTTCCAAACATTTTTAATATTTCTTTTCCTACGATTATGATATCAATTCTAAACATGTATCTCATCAATTTAAGATTTCAGTCTTGTATTTCTTGAATAAAAAACCCAACAGAGAAATAAAAACTGATGTAGAAATAAACTCTGCGCAGTTGGGAGGTCCATCGTGGACTGTGAAGCTAGGGCGAAGAGACTCTGCAATGGCCAGCAAGAGTGAGGCACAGAGAGAACTCCCTCTCTTCACCGCTCCCTTGGACAGTCTCATCTCTAGCTTCCG